ATGTGTTGACTGGGCCAGCTGGTGGTGTGGTCATTCAGGCTGTGGGATCCCACGCGACCGAGTGTGGGATTCGGGTTCCAGACCCAACAGCTTGAGCAACATGCAGGTGCATGTGTGTGTGCATGCCCTGAAATCCCAAAGGAGGAAATGGGAGAGAAGGAATTACAGGGTGACCATCCTCTGTGGGCGATGCTTTCTCACTCTCCCTTTCATCTCTCTCTCTGTCTCTCTGACAGGTGAGACATGCCCTCTGACAAAAATTAAAAATAAAAACAATGTGTTTGCTGGGCCCAGCCCCAGAGATGTGTTTTCAGTTGCTGTGGGGTGGGGCGGTGTGTCAGTCTATCCAGAGCTCCCCAGGGACGGTAAGATACAGCCAGGATTACGCACCAGCTCTGCTTCGCAAACCAGGAGGCTGACACCACACCTTACGATGGCTCACGCCCCCACCTGCAGTCTGCCGTGGGCTGTCTCCCTCATTCTACCTCTGCACAAAAGACAGATTTCTCAGGCAGAAGCTGTATGCTCTGCAGAGTCACCTGAGCCATTCTGCAGAGTGGGATTGGTCTCAGAGACCGTCACCCCTCGTGCTGTTTTCTGATCGAGACGCAGTCTTTGGAGTACTCCTGGTGGTTCCCGGAGTGCCAGGCGAGGTCGCGGTGTGTCTAGGCTGGGCTTTATCCTTCTGTCTCCTCTGAAGGAGCAGCCTCCTGGCGTGGCTTGGCTGTGCTGTCAGAAACTGGTCCTGACCGAGCAGGAGCTCAGCAGGACAGTGGGCACAGTGTGACGGTCTGATGGGGCGTGTGTCCCATTCACACCCAGAGGTGGGCTGGGAGGGATGAGAACCACCCATGAGTCGTTCTCAGAGCTGTACCCTCTGCAGCACGTGTAGTCTCAGCTCCACATTTTCCTAAATGCCCTGTTCTAGGGCTGCAGTTCCCCAACTTTTTTGGCACCAGGATCCAGTTTATGGAAGACACTTTTTCCACGGACTTGAGTGAGGGGGAGGAGCACTAGTCTGTGAGCGTGCGCAGCCCGGATCCCTCGTGTGCGCAGGTCACAGTGGGGTCCGTGCTCCTGTGAGAATCCGACACCCCTGCGGATATGACAAGAGGCGGAGCTCAGGCAGTGACGGGAGCGATGGGGAGCGGCTGTAAAACACACAGAGCGTCACTCCCGCACCTGCAGCTCACCTCCTGCTGTGCGGCCTGGTTCCTAACTGACCGCGGACCAAACCAAGGGTCGGGGCCCCTGTTCTAAGGCACAGAGGCAAATTCTGATATCCTGAGAGCACACCAAGCTCCAGGCTGGGCCGGGCCCTTTCCCATGTGTCATTGTGCTCTCCTCACTCACTGCCATGCCCAGGGACCGAGACATAAATGCACAGAACTTCACTGCATGACACATGACAGTATGTTCACGTTAGTAGCAGAGAGACTCCACACTCCAGAGAGCCTCGCTGTTACGGGACGTGACATGATGGCGAGCTCGCGGTCAGCCGTCCTGTCCTTGCACCTGCTCCTTCATTAGCGGGAACCTTGGCGAGCACCAGTGGGTGACTGTGGGCACGAAGTAGGCTCCAGCCTTGCTGAGCTCCCAGTCCCATGGGCCCCCCACCCCCAAGGGACCCCAAAGACAACTTGCTGCGAAGCTAGAACAGCCCGGGCCCGGCATGGCTCACAGAGCCCTCACACATGTCAGCTCCACCGACGCAGAGCCTTGCAAGGCTTCAGGCCAAGATAATTAAATGTCACGTATTTGGTAAAATAAATGAAAATAACTCTTTTGTTCTATAGACCCGTCTATATTTTTAGTTTGTTTGTTTTTGATATGTATTTGTTTTGGATACCATTTGCTTGTTCTAGCGTGACTGAGTCTTGGTTCTTTTTCTCTCCATCTCTTCCCCCCACCCCCCTGGCACCCTATAGAAAAGGACAGGGGCGGCCTGACTGGGCAATCTTTGGGAGACTTACTGAACACAACGAGACGATTTTGTTTAAAGAGAAATTTCTGGATTGGACTGAACTGAAGCGACCTAGTGAGAAGAACGCCGTGGAGGTCGCTCAGCAGAAGGTATTCTGGGTGATCAAGCCGCAGACCCTGGGTGTCCTGGGGTCCTAGCAAAAGTGCCCTCGAAGCTAAAAGCCATCCCAGGGCTCCCTGGGAGAACGGAAACTTTCCATTTACATCCTAGTTCCAGGAGGTGGGAACAGCCCTGTCTGTGCCTCCTCCTCCCTGGCGGACCAGGTGTAGGGTCCCATCCGCTGCTCCTGGGGCCGTAGGGCGGGGCCTCTTTCCCCTACAGGCGGCTTGTCCCTACCTGCACCTAAACAGCCTTTGGCCGTGTGTGGAAGCTACAGCGTCACACCGTCCTTGTTCCTTTGGCGGCTAACAGCAGAAAACACCTGAAACTGAGTGATTTATAAAAATGGAGGTTTCCTCAGCCCACTGTTGGGAGGTTGTAGGTCCAGGGGCCGCACCTGGTGGCTTTTTCTGTTGGTGGGTCCCGAAGCCATGCAGGGCGTGACATCACGAGAGGTCAGGAGTGTGGCCAGTGTCCACATGTCTCCAGGCCTCCGTTCTTCTGCCGGGAGCCCATCACAGAGACCCCACTCTGATCCCTTCATCACTCCAGAGGCCCCACCTTTGCACAGCATGGAGGCAGTAAGCTTCCTCCTAACACCTTCACATCCACATCTCCACCCGCGGCTGGGGGGACACAGCCCTGTCTCTTTAGCAGCTGATAAAGCATTGCATGAGAAAGGGCCGCTAGAGAGAGAAGGCGTCCCCTTCTCCCTGTAGGAAGACCCTCGGGCCGAGGTCAAGCCCTACGACGTGACGCGGATGGTACCAGTGCCCCAGATGACAGCCGGCACCGTCCTGGACGGGGTGAACGTGGGCCGTGGCTACGGCCTGGTGGAAGGGGACGACCGGAGGCAGTTTGAGATCGCCAGCGTGTCCGTGGACGTCTGGCACATCCTGGAGTTCGACTACAGCCGGCTTCCCAAGCAGAGCATCGGCCAGTTCCACGAGGGGGACGCCTACGTGGTCAAGTGGAAGTACATGGTGAGCACCGCAGGTTAGTGAGCGCGTCCGTCCCGTAGCAGACCAGCGGCAGGGGCGAGAAGCCCACCATTCCCGCAGCCCGGGGGGGTGGGTTCTGCACCGTCCACCCGCAGCAACCACCCTCCCCGCTGAGGCTTCCCCCTGCCCTCCTCGCTGCCCCTGCTCTGACCCAGATCTTCCAGCACAGCGACGCGGGCCTCGTCCGGTACTCACTGTGGCCGCGTGCTGCTGACTTGTCAGACAGCGCGTGTCTGGGTGACTCACGGCCCGAGTGGTGGTGTGCTGCCGGAGGGGACGCACACCCAGGGCCTGGGGAAAGAAGAGGCCGTCTTCTCTGAGGCTGGGCCACTGGCTGGGCCCTGTGTATCTGGTGTAATAAATACTCAGAACTTTTCGTGGATCCTGTGGGCGAGACACTCCAGGGACGCTTTGCCCTCAAGGCGGTGAGGGAAAGGTCTTCGCAGGCCCAGGCATGGGGCTGTGGTTTTCCCTCGCACCCTGGAACAGGACCTCGCAGCCTCTGCAGGACTTGCTGTGTCATTACACTGCTTTCTCAGATGAACAGAACAGCGAGACTAAGTAACCCACCTGAAGTCACACAGCTAGAGGGAGCAGAGCCGGCCACGGGAACGCGGGCCTGTCTCACCCGAGTGTGTTGTCGCGAGCACAGGGTGTGGACGGCCAGGAGTTTGGCCCAGTCACCAGCCCTGTGGAGAGGAGTGGGGTGGAGCCAGCAGCCAGCCTGCCTCAGGGCTGGGCCCCGTCAGCTTCTGGGGCTTCGTCAACAGCCACGAACAGCATGGGGTCGCCCAGGCCAGGGCAGCTCTGGCCTCCCTTCCCAGAGTGGTGGGGTGGCAGCAAGGACCCCACGGAAGGTGCTTCTCGTCTGCTTAATTCCCTGAGAGCGGTTGGCACGGCCCCTTTCCCTTTTTCTAGCATGGCTGTGTCACGTGGCGCATGGGCCACATGCCAGAACCGAGCAGCCTAGGCTCCAAAATCTCGGGCCCTAATGTACCAGCTACCCAAGCCGTGACTGTCTCACCTGGTAAAGAGATTCTAAAAGCCAGCTCCCCGTGTATACGGCGTTGTATGGGATGCCCGGTGCATGCCCCCCTTGTGGGTGCAGGGAACAGCTGTCTCCAACTCCTGGGCAGGGGCAGCATCGTTACTGCCTTCACTGAGGACGAGGCTGTACCTCCCAGTATCGTGGCAGCTCCCAGAGTCGCCGTAGTGGGCGTAAGCTCCGTGATCTGCACAGGGGTAGCACTCGGAAACCATCACCCGCCTGCCGGTGTGCAGCGAAGGCAGTAATGGGGGATTGTGTGTTTGGGAGGGGGTCTGCCAACCTCTGGATCTATGGAACTGGGCACTTTAAGGACAGGCTTTAAGGCACCTGCAGTTCCCATTCTTCAAATGCAGAGCACGGCAGGGCACGGAAGGCCAGGGGAAGGGGCACCACGGTCTGAAGCGTGGTCGGTTTAACAAGTGAAATGAACGAACGAAAACGGTGTTGAAATGACACGATGTTTAAAACTCTGACTTCCAAGTCGTCCAGAGGTTACGTACTTGGAGGCCTCTAGGAAATAACGATTTGGCCGCCCGGGCAACTCCTTGACTTCATAGAAGAACACATCACAGCTTTCCCGACTACCTAATACATTTCCTCCCGATGACCGCAGTGGACAACTACAGCTCCTGCAGCATCTTCAGGAGCCAAGTTGCAGCTCTGAAAAACCCCAGCTGCGGAGAATGAAGTTAGAGCAGGGCATGTTCAGATTTTAGACGGCACCTCTGGGAGCAGAGGAGCACAGCTCAATGGCTTCTGCAGTCACTCTGTAGCCGCCACAGATGCCCTGGCCCCTGGAGACCCTGGCCCCTTGGGGACCACAGGTCCAGCCCCAACATCACTCACTACTCCACAAAGGTGCACCTGCAGACAGCACTGCACTTCAAGCATGGACACTCCTCTGGGACGGGACAGGAAACAGCGGCTGCAGAGGTGTCTAGCCTCCTCCCAGCCCTGGCCAGCCTGCTAGGATCAGCGTCCTCCCCCCAGTGACTGCCCACAGGGTCAGGACACAGAGACACTGGTCAGGCTGCAGATCCGTTCCTACACATGGGTGGTCAGTACATGGAGTCTGGTGCAAGGCTGCGTGACTGTGAAGGACTGTATACCTTAGCTCTCTGTTATTCCCGAGAGGATGCCGTTACGGCTTGACATAACACACTCTGAATGAGGCATCTGATCAGCATTGCATATGGTCCAAGGGTGGTTATTAATAAAACCATAATCTTTGCTTTACTACAGTTAAATTAAGTGATGAAAAATTAAATTGATAGAAGACTGAATTTGTGCATGTTGAGGAAAACTAGTAATCTATCTGACTGATGAAGTATGTGTATGGGCCAGCCCCACGACTTAGTGGTGAAGGAGACTGGATCCCACATGGCTGACCACAGTTCTAATCCTAGTCCGGGCAGCTTGAAAAACACACCAGATGCAAAGCGTTATTCCTATCCAAACAGATGGAGCGGTGGAGGAAGAGGGCCTGCAGTGTGACTAGGGCCCGTTAAGGTGCTTTTTTTCTTTCCCTCTCTGTCTCTCTGGCTCAGTTTGACAAGCACTTGCACCCTCTGGCAATTAGAGAAAAGTGAGAGGGCCAGCTGGTGGCATGATGGTTAAGGCAGCAGCTCGCACATGGACACCTGCACAGTTTGAGTCCCAGACCCAGCAACAATATGAAAAATATGCCAGAAACGTATACATGCGTGCCCAGAATCCTGAGAGGACAATGAAGGAAAGGGGTTGTAGTGTGACCATCCCTCCGGCACATGCTTTCTCACTTCCCCTGTCTGTCTCTGTCTTTCTGGTAAGTGCATGTGCCCAATAAGAACAGGGTTTTTATATTGCTTTTTGTTTGTTTGTTTTATGGAGAGGTTTTTGCTGTAGGGTGCGTGCACGCTCCAGAAAGACAGAGACAGAGAAATCAGCCCCCGGGGGGATGGCCATGCTGCAAACCCTTCTCCTCCATTGTCCTCTCAGGATCTTGGGCACGCACGCACACGTGCCCGGCGTGAATTTAAGCCACCAGATCCAGGACTCGAACTGCAGTCGACTACATAGGAGTCCAATGACATAGCCCTTAGGCCAACTGCTGGTCCCTATTGTTTGTTTTTAAAAGCGAGAAAAAAAAATTTTTTTAATTCTATTCTTGGCCAGCAAGTGTATAGAGGTTAAGGTGCTGGATCCCACATGGCTGGCTGCACCGTTCAAGTCCCAGACCTTGCCAAGCACATGTGCATGAGTGCCCAAAATCCTGAGACGAAGCTAAAGGAAAAAGGACTGCAGCATAACCATCCCTTCTGGGGGGGGTGATTTCTCACTTACCTCTCTCTCTGTCTCTTTCTGTTTCTCTCTCTCTCTCTCTCACACACACACATACGCATGAACACATAGCAAAATATAGACTGAAAGAAATTGTATTCTATTCTAGGTGTATATATTCAAGCCTATTTTAAAATGTTAGGAAGCCATGTTGGTTATTTACGTGTGCATCAGTATTGACACAGTCTATTTCAACGCTAGCCACTCCCAAGGCATATGCGTAAGCTGTTGTGATGTATTTTAAGATATCTTTCCCCAGTCGTGCAGTTGACACAAGTACATTTCACTGCTCCAAAGATGAAATTGAATAACAGCAAGCTTTCTTCCTTAAAAACTCAGCAGATATTGTTATGGAGTGGCTTCTCAACTAACTGCGAGCATTTCTTTATCTGTTCATTGATGGGGCCTCACATTGGCCAGTTCAGCTCTGTAACACATGGCACTAATGGCTCTGCTTGGTCAAAAAGGACTTGAAGAAATAATTGGAATCATTTCTGAAAGCTGTGCTATCATGAACTTCTCTAGACAAAGAGCCAGGAATCCAGTAAACATGGCCCTGACTATTCAAGAACCCACATGTGCTTTCCCTCACCCTCAACCCTCCATGCTGTGATTAGAGCTGGTGAAAATGGAAGTCATGTGTCAATAGAGCCCGAGAACCCAGTTCTTGCCGTTCATCTGTAATGTGCATGGGTGCCATGACCACCTGCCATTGGCTCTGTGGCCCCACTCACTGGGGCTCCCCTCCCCCAGTCATGACCTGGTCTCCTGACCTCACTCAGCCCTAGAAGGTTCTACTTCCAGGTCACCATCCTTCAAACCTTGGCTCACTTACTTTCTCATCAAGGCCTTTTGTCAACAGGCAATCCATAGACCCCCCGCCCTGCTGATAGCACCCCCACCCTTTTCCTCATAGCACCTACCGTGCCTGAAATGGTCTCGCTCATCTCTGGGCACATTACTGCTAGAACGAAAGTGCAGACATTGTCTTAGTTATCACCGTAGCCCCAGAGCCTCGCGGGTCCCTGGCACAAGGCAGATGCTCAATCAATACTTGTCTAAGAATGAATGGAGGGAGTCTGGAGTAAGGTACATTCCGAAAGGTAGGGCGTGAGGCGTGCAGCTGCTGTCTGAAATGACCTCCTGAACAGCGACCCTCCGTGAGGCTCCTGAGAGCCACCTCTGCCACTGCCGTGAACCGGTGCCTACGGCCACGGGCCAGTCACGTCTGCCCTGCTGCAGCCCCGCGGCAGACCCAAAACCCACGTTCTTTCGTGAAAGCGATAGGTCGGTAATTTACCTCTTGAAGTTCAAAGCTTTTTTCTTTTTTACTAGAATAGTTTTAACAGGCTAATTTTCCCCCTTTGCTCTTAAAGCTGGTCCAGCTGTTGTTTCCGATATCTTTTCCGTACCAGCTAACGTGTTTGCCAAAGAGTGGTGTCATGTGGAAGACGCGCTGTGTCTGTGGGAGCCATCGGTCCTGCCTGGCGGTCACCATTCTCTGTCACACGCTTGGCGTGGCCTGCCGCCTTCCTCTGGGATGATGGGGTTCTTCTTAGGGCTTGGGAAGGGCCCGTCAGGTCACTTTTCTCTGGTTTGGAGGCCCTGGGTCAGTTGGCCGGAATGGGGCTGGTTCCTCTCTTCCCGAGTGATGCCTGACAGTCCTTCAGTTGTGAATGATTTCGCTCGGCCCCATGCACAAAAGCTATTTCCTTCCTTTTTCTTTTTCTTTTTTTGAAAGAGAGAAGGAAAGGGCATGGTCACTCCACCATCTTCATCCCTCCATTTCTCGGTCCTGTTGAGATTTGGTGCATGCACACTTGCGTGGTATGCTTTCCAAGCCACCAGGGCTGGGATTTGAACCATGGTCAGCCATATGGGACTCGGCTCCCTTTACCACTGTGCTGCAGGGCCAGCCCCCAACAGCTGTTTCCTTAGCCTCTGTCCTCCCAGCCCTGGAGAAGCGAGCCAGCTAACTCTCTGGTCCCCAGTGCTGACCTGGCCTCGCTGCTCTGTTTGCAGTGGGAAGTCGGCAGAAGGGCGAGCACACGGTCCGCGTGGCTGGCAAGGAGAAATGCGTCTACTTCTTCTGGCAAGGCCGGCACTCGACTGTGAGCGAGAAGGGAACATCAGCGCTGATGACCGTGGAGCTGGACGAAGAAAGGGGGGCCCAGGTAAGTCATGGGGAGCTGTGAGGAGCTGCTGCACTGGGACTGAAAGAGGCTCCGTTCCCAGAGAGCCTGCAATGTGTGGCCTGGTCCCCAGTGATCTGTTTCTCACTAGCAAAATGCCCTCCCACCGCCGCAGCCCTGGGCTGGCTTCTGCAGGTTTAGGCTCTGCCTCCCATCCCGTCCTCCCTGTCCTGTTGTAACACGATCCAGAACAAGATGCTCTACCTGCGAATGCACAAAACACATGTGCACATGGCCAGCGAGTGTTTTTGCAAGGTTTCCACCTGAGTAATAATCAACGCATTGTAAATAAAACAGGGAAGGCCCTATCCACTTGTAAAATGGGTAGAGATTTTTGCAAGAGTAGCTCTGGTGCTGGCGGGCTGCGGTAGGATGGAGGCTCGCGTGGGCTTCTCTCGGGCGGTGAATCTTGGACTGGCCCTCCTGGAGAGCACCTTGGGCCCAAGAACCTTACAGAGTCAGTTATTCCACTGACACAAATCTATCCAACAGAAACATGAGAGATTAAACTAAGAATTGAGGACTTTGCCTGCATTCCTCCCAGTGCCCAGGGGATTTTTCTAGAACACAGCAGACCACAGACCATGAGGCTCCCTCTTTTTCCACCAAACAGAATATAGTTTAAGCCATGCCCAGGTCTCCAGCCCCACAGGTAGACCTCACAGCTCTGCAGCTTCCTGGCCCTCCTGCCCAGCCCCAGGCTGGGGCCTGCTGCTTTAGGCAGACACCCCGCCCACTCACACTCACCCGCACTACCTCCCTCCTCTGGAGGACTCACCCTGCTCATGACTGCCCCGGCTCCCAGCCTGCTCAGATGTGGGTTTCTGCTCCCACACCATCCCTGTTTTATCCAGAAACCTCCCCTTTCTCCTCTTTTTCCCTGCCCCTTTGTAATGCTTTGTTTTCAGCACTTTCTACCACCTGAAACTGCAAAATGTTTTCTTAAAGTTTCTTTGCTCTTTAAAGTTTAGGATATTTGTTTTAGACTGAATCTAATCTAGCAAATTATAACAAGATTTCCTAGATTTGGGTATTGTAAAAGTATCTTTTTTTTGCCATATTTTTTGTTAATTTTTTTGGGGGGGAGAGGTTTTTCCTATAGGACGTGTGCGCTCTCCAGCGAGACAGAAAGCGAGAAATCACCCCCCAAGGGGGGATGGCCACGCCGCAATCCCTTCTCCTCCATTCTCCTCTTGGGATCTTGGGCATGCATGCACACGTGCCCAGCCTGAGTTTAAGCCACTGGATTTGGAATTTGGACCACAGTCTACTACATGGGAGTCCAGCAACCATAGCCATTATGCCAACTGCTGGTCCCAATTTTTAAAATTATTATTCATACATTAAACTGCTATACATCATTTAGATTGTGCAAAGAGTTTACCCAGCAAACTGCAAAATATTTTATTTCCTTACTTATTATCTAGCGCCACAAGCATGACAGAGACCATGTCTGTCCTGGTCTTAAAACTCCAGTGCCACTCCAGGACCTGCACTGTGCCTGGCACCTACCCCTGAAGGGCAAAGTTTCAGGAACTGCTCTGTTTAACGTTTGGACGCCCTATGCCTCACCTCCCTCCTTTGGTGCCAGTACTTGGGAGCTGGTCTGGGGTTTTAGAAAACACGACATACAGTTTTTACTATCTTGGTGAGTGGTTAGCAACAGCATGAGGAAGGAGAAAGTGGAATTTTCTCTAAGAATAGATCAGCACTTCCTTGGCCTTCCCAGTCCTAAGAGCCAACTGTCTTACCCACCGGAAAGTTTAAATGAGTACTTTTGACTATGGACTATGATTAAGAAATAGATGTTAGCAACAGTTGCATTTTAATTTTTCCCTAATAGTGTATCATTTCAACTGCCTTTATTCTTGGGAAGGCCACGGACGAACCCCTTTTAATCATGCATTCAAAATCATACGTAGGGTTTCAAGTCTTAATCTCTCTAGTACTAACATTTCATTTTCTATCAGCCCAGCGAATGGAAAACATCGTTTGAGACATGAGTAACTGCCACAGAATGGCACTTGATAATGTAAAATAGGCCATGAGGTTGAAGTTAGCTCCCCGCGAGAAACGCTTCCAACCTCGAGCACGCTCTGACCGCCAGCTCTGCAGGCATTTCCTCTAAGGGCAGGGTCCAGGGTGGATTCACTCAACCCCGACGTCACTGATGGTGCCTTACGGGCAAGGGGGTATTGCTCTCTGACTAGACTGCTGGTTGCAAGGGATACATTTTCCCTCCCAAATTCCTAAGGGAGGTTAGTCATTCTCGTGCTGAGAGGCATACTTAGTTAAAAGTGTGTGTAGATCAGTCATGGTACCCCCGTACCGTGGAATAGCATTAAAGCTTACGTGTGTGTGTCACAGGTATTTTGCTTGTTTGTTTGTTTTGCCATAGGGCATGTGGGCTCACGGGAGAGACATAGTGAGGGGGAAAGTGAGAAATCACTCCCCAGGGAGAATGGCCAGGGCGCGATCTCGTCTCCTCCATTCTCCTCCTAGGATTTTGGGCATACACACACGTGTCCAGCATGATTTTCCAGGTTCCAGGTCTGCGCCTCGAACTGTAGTCGGCCATGTGGGAGTCTAGCATGTTAACCACCACGCCATTTGCTGGCCCCTCGAAATGTCTTTTAAAAGACTATTCAATGACAGAAAAAAATAAATCCAAATGAGGGTCTAAAGCAACATGAAACAACATTCCTGTGTTTGTTAAGGAAACCGTATACCTGAAAAGCACTTTGAAAGAAAGGCTATGCACTCCCACTTCCATAATGAGTCTCGTTAGATAACAGTGGTATCGCTTGCTTTTGAACATCTTGTATTTCTCAGCCTTTCGGGAGCAGGCGTGCATTGTTTTGATGACTTTAGCAACCCCATCCCTGTTACCCATTTTGCTGTGTTTAAATTGGCAGGTCCAGGTTCTCCAGGGGAAGGAACCCCCCTGTTTCCTTCAGTGTTTCCAGGGGGGCATGGTGGTACACTCGGGAAGACGGGAAGAGGAGGAAGAAAACGTACAAAGTGAGTCTCCTTTACCTCTGGGATGTGGGTGCTCTTCCCCCCTCCTGGAAGGTATAAGTCTCTCTTTTCATATTGCTGTGACTTTAGCGCTGTAAGCCGCCTAGCGTTTGCCTGATAAGTCAGTTTGATGGGAGCTCTTACCTCCTCCCACCCATGGAATTTATTTCAGGGTCTACCTTTGCAGGCTGGAAGATTCTTTCACCTTAAACTGGGCAGACATTTTTCAGGAGGAAAAAATAAAAACAGTGAATCTGCTATTATAAATAATGAGATTTTTGTTGGCGAGCATCAAAAAGAAAAAAAAGCTTTAGAGTGTTTTAAAATATGCCTATTATGTGACTTATTTTATACATCTTGGAATAATAGATGCCGTTTCCACATCCTGAATGTTTGGCAACCTTTTTAACTCCAAAAGGATTTGCTCTTTGGAACTGCAGTTAGACAGGGTGGGGTCATGCTCGGTGTGGTGGCTCCCTGCCCCAGGGCCTCTGTCTCTGACCTCCTGGAATGTGGTGGTCACTGTGGATGGCACAGCAGGGTCTGGAAGGACAGCTTTCCCGCGGCTCAGGGCTAACCCTGTGCGGCTGCTGCCCCCTGCAGGTGAGTGGAGGCTGTACTGCGTGCGAGGAGAGGTGCCCATGGAGGGGAACTTGCTGGAGGTGGCCTGCCACTGCAGCAGCCTGCGGTCCAGGACTTCCATGGTGGTCCTCAACGTCAACAAGGCCCTCATCTACCTGTGGCATGGATGCAAAGCGCAAGCCCACACAAAGGAGGTCGGAAGGACAGCAGCCAATAAAATCAAGGAGCAGTGAGTGTTGGGTGTCGGGGCGAGCCCTCCACTAAAGGGATATCGGGAGGGACAGGCAGGTCAGGGTGAGAAGGGCTCTCAAGACTCCTGTTGGTGTCCATTGTGCTCACAGCATCGTTTTGTCAGAGCAGTGCCATGTTAAAAAGCTAACACTTGGAGGGCCAGCAGTTAGCGTAATGGCTATGTTGCTGGACTCCTATGTAGTTGACCACGGTTCAAGTCCCAGACCCGGTGGCTTAAACTCACGCCGGGCGCATGTGGGTGCGTGCCCAAGATCCCAAGAGGAGAATGGAGGAGAAGGGATTGCGGCGTGACCATCCCTCCTGGCGTGTGATTTCTCGCTTTCTGTCTCTCTGTCTCTGTCTTTCTGGCGAGTACACGCACCCTATAGCAAAAACCTCTCCAAAAGAAAAAGAGAAAGAAAAAGAAAAGCTAAAGCTTGGAAACCCCCATGCGTCCTCTCTTTAGAAAACCATCATGTTCCCCATTGTCAAAAGCCACCTCCTGACACTGATTTCCTGGACTCTGGGGTCAGTTTTGGGGCACAGCGCTGCCGACGTCAGGTGCCGTTGCTCTCCCAGGCAGGCGCCTGCAGTCGGCCCTTACAATGCAGTTCACTGCGACAGCGCACTGCAGAGCTGGGGGCAGAGGGCACCCGAAGGGGGCTGAAGGAGAGAGCCAGGGAACGTGCTCCCGGGGCCCGGCTTCAGCTAGAGCTCGTGCCACTGTGGCCCTGCCCTTCCGAGCAGCCCTCGTAAGACAGCCATCCCAAGCATACAAAGAAATCCCATGTCCCCCTCCCCGCCCCCATGATTCGGGAGCTAAGACCCGAGGAAACCTCGGAAACTTCTGCACAGGGAAAGTGAAGAGGTTCCCGCAGAGGCCGAGCTGGAGAAGCGGAGTAGGATCCTGGTTACTAGAGGCCGGGAAGGGGCAGGGCTGTGGGTTCATGGATTCCAACGCACACGTAGCTAAGAGGAGGAGTAAGTTTACTGCGTGGTAGGCCACTACCACTCAACTAGAATGTGTATTTCAAAATAGCTAAGAGAGGATTTGAGATAGTCACAAAGTATGGCGGATGGTTGAGACAACGGCGGTGCTCATTGCCCCGATCTGACCCTTACGCATTGCGTTCACGTACTGAAAAATCACGCTTACTCCATAAGTAGGTACTGTTACCCTGTGTCGTTTGGATTTTGTTTTACATGAAGAGTTCCCTACGGCCACAACATGCCATCAAACGGCCACTTGGTAAAACCCGATCTCTGGGCGCTAAAGCAGTGGGGTGCGACCTGCACCCCAGGTGACCCCTCTCACACCTAGCTCTACATGGATGGGCAGAACAAGGACAGAGGCAGACAGATGTGGAGCAGGCCACCTCACCTCCAGGCAGCGCTCTGTGGGCAAGCCAGCCAGAGGGACAGCACCTGCACTCAGGGGTGCAGTGGGGGCTCAGAGACGTGCACGGCCCGCTGAGACGAAACCCAGCAGCAGCGTTCACAGTGCACCCACTCTGTGCCACGCACCTGGGCCACGCATACACCCAGGTCTCGGTCCTCGTGAGACGTGTTCTAGCAGGAAAGAAGGACACGAGATAGCAGAATGGACTGTGATCTGTGAAGAAGGATGTTGTTTTCAGACGCGATACGTGTAACGGATCAGTCCTCCCCAAGCCCGGGCCACCCTCTGCCTCCCCCACCACACGCTCGTAAACTACAGAGCACCGTTATTTGTGGGAAGGAAGCGCTTTCAGGTAGAAAGTCGAAGAGTTGGTGAACCAGTCAGATTCAGGCTGATGAGTTTATCACCCTCTGGCTTCTGAAAACCATCGGGGTCTCTCCCTCACAGGTGCCCCCTGGAGGCGGGACTGCACAGTAGCAGCAAGGTGACGATCCACGAGTGCGAGGAGGGGTCCGAGCCCCTGGGATTCTGGGATGCTTTGGGAAGAAGGGACAGGAAAGCCTACGACTGCATGCTTCAAGGTAAGGCACCACGGCATGGCCCTCCCTCCTCCTCACCCAGGCAGTAACTATTTACTGAGCATATAATATGTACAGCACACCGCGATTAAACCCAGGGTCTGTCCCTGGGGCCTGCCACTTAGTGAGCAGGCTAAGCTGTCCGCATGGAAATTATAATACAAGCTAAAGGTTCAAGATAAAAGAAACCTGGGCCAGCAGATGGTGAAATAGTTATGTCGCTGGACTTCCACTTAGTTGTCCATGTTTTGAGTCTGTACGCAGTGGCTTAAAACATACCAGGCACATGTGTGTGCGTGCCCAAGATCCCAAGAGGAGAATGGAGGAGAAGGGAAATCACACCTGGCTCCCTGGAAGAGGTGGCATTTGCACAGTGCCTTGGAGGTTAGTTCCATTGGGCAGCAGCAGGTTCCAGGAAAGCAGCTGAGCAAGGCACAGTGTAAGCCTAAAGTCTGAGCAGCGTCCAGGGTGCAGGGAAGTAGTGGAAGTTCAGATGAGAGGGGAGGAGAGAACCAGGCATGGAGGCCTGAACCGGGGGCCCTCGGCCTCACCCGAGCTACTCAGGTTCTGCGCCACTGCCGAGGCACAGTGGGAAGAGGAGTCGCCCCCCAGCGTGTGCTCGGGAGGTGTTTAGTGAGATGAGCCGCGGTACGGTACCGTGGGGCAACTCCCAGCAGCTTGTGCTCGGGCCTGACGCTCAGAGATGGATTGTGAGGTGATCCATTTCGCAGCATGACCCCAAGATGGCCACAAGGGGGAGGTGAGAGACAGAAGCAGCCATGATACGGTAGCTCTCAGGGAACCCTAGGTCTCTGAGAAAACAGCGGAAGCTGGGACACAGGCCTCAGAAAAATGCCTGCGGAAACATACAGGTGTGGTGCTGGGCATGGTGTCCACTAAGATGCGTCATTAAGAGGCTGTAGAGAAAGATGGAGCAAAGTAGAACAAGGTCAGGGGACTGTCACAGACCGGGAGGAGGACATATCCTAAAGGAGGGCACAGTCACCACTGGCAGGGACCAAGGAGTTCAAGGACTGGGAGGGCAAAGGGCTCGATGACAGGCTCCTCAGAGGCCACTTCCAGCCAGAGGCGAGCCAGCCCAGCAGAGCGGCCAGTGAGGAGGTGAGAGACGCCGGTGGGAGAATAAGAGGAAGGAGTAAATGCGGGGGCGAGGCGCGTCAGAGCCGGAAGGAAGCCTGCCAGGCACGAGGAGACTTCTTACCTATTCCTGGGCGGAACCACATCCGGGGACATACTGGATGGAGCAGGAGGATGCAGCTGAAGTGTGGCTGAAATGGGGTGATCAAGGGCACAGGAGAAAGGTCACCTGGGACGGAGGTCATATGCTTTGTTTCTGGATTTTTTTTTTTAATTCCACTAGAGCATGTGCCACAGAGACACAGGGAGAGAAAGAGAAAGAACCCCCAGTAGAGTGTGGTCATGCCACAATCCCTTCTCTTCCATTTCTCCGTCCTATTAGAAATAATTGGGAAATACACCCAACGTATTTTTCAAGCCATCAAAAGCAGGATTTGAACCGCAGTCAGCCACGTGGGATCTGGCATCGTTAACCACTAGGTGCAGGGCCGCCCCTATCTGCTGCATGCCCAGCTTTTTGCTGCATGTTGTGCATTGGGCCTGGGAACATGAACGTTGTCAGCTAGGGATGGCACGTAGGTGGCCCATGCACGGAAAGAAAGGGAAGCCGTGCCCAGAGGACCCACGTGCTCCCTAGCTGAGAACAGCAGAGGAGAGCCTCCAGCACCCCATTATTGTTCTTGCTGCTGGTACTATAAGTAGTCAAGGCCTTTCCCACCCCCAAGATGTATAAATCCTGTGCATTTCTGTTGTCGTCCTGTATTTCCCGTTTCGCCAGAATTCTCCAGTCTGTCTGGAATTTGGGTGATGCCTGTGTGTCCAACTGGTTGGCCAGTTTCACTTGGGCACCCCGAACCTCAGGGCCGCATGTAGCCATGGGGGAGGACACCACCATCTAGGGTCCTAAGGACCCGTCGTGGCTGAGTCCACCATTTTATCTGTCTCCTAATCGCTGCCACCTGGGAGATACAGCCTCGGGTGTTGGGGTGGGAGCTGGGGAAGGAAGCAGACCCGTAGTCCAGGGTGGGCATTCGGCTCTTACCCTGTCCTGAAAGACCTTACCCTGACTTTCCCACTTGCCAGAGTGAAGTTGGCTATGAAAATATGTGCCTCCCCGTCTTTTCATAAAAATCTAGATTAGGGAAACAGCAGTTAGCGTAATGGCTATGTCGCTGGACTCCCACGTAGTCAACCGCGGTTCACGTCCTGGACCCTGTGGCTTAAACTCACGCCAGGCGCGTGTGCATGCGTGCCCAAGATCCCGAGAGGAGAATGGAGAAGGGATTATGGTGTGGCCATCCCCTCTGGGAGGTGATTTCTCGCTTTCTGTCTCTCTGTCTCTCTCTGTCTGTCTGGCAAGTGCACGCGCCCTATAGCAAAAACCTCTCCAAAAAAAAAAAATCTAGATTAGCAGAAGAAGCAAAGTTGGTGTTTGCTTTACTGGAGTTCCGATGAGACAGGCACCATTTAAGAACCTTGTAACTCGGTCATACCACCCAGCACTTGACCAGTTTTACAGAAAAGGAAACGGAGGCGTGGAGAAGGGAACGCCTGCCCGAGGCTGGGCAGCAGTGACGCGTACTCATCCCTCCATGAGAGTGTGCCTCCCAGTTCTATCAACTTTTATACAGCTTTGTACATATAGTGTCTGTTGCTAACATGACATCTCTCGGAGATAACCAGAACTCACATGTTCTTTGCTATATATAATATAAATAAAACCTAGACCTGGGGCCAGGTGGTGGCACAGTGAACCTCATGTCCCAGCAAGGACCCTGGCATACGAGCATGCTCTGGTCTGTGCTGGCCGAGACTGGGGGTGGCTTGTGGTGTGAAGCCCCTGTTAGGGGGTCTTTCTCTCTCTCTCTCTCTCTCTCTCTCTCTCTCTCTCTCTCTCTGAAATAAACAAACAAGCAAACTTTAAAAAATAAACTAAAATCATGGGACCAGCAGTTAGCGTAATGGCTATGTCACTGGACTCCCACGTAGTCGACCACGGTTCGCGTCCTTGACCCAGCGGCTTGAACTCATGCCAGGCACATGTGCGTGCTCAAGATCCCGAAAGGAGAATGGAGAAGGGATTGCGGCGTGGCCATCCCCCTGGGGGGTGATTTCTTGCTTTCTATCTCTCTGTCTCTCTCTGTCTGTCTGGCAAGCGCATGCGCCCTATAGCAAAAACCTCTTCAAAAAAATTTTTTTAAATAAATAAACTAAAATTTACTTGGTTACCTGCTCTTTCCATTTATTCTCTTACAAGCAATTTCCCAAGTTGTTACTATTTCAGCTTTAGTGGCTACAGGACATTCGTCCCATGAATGTGTGCCACTCTGTACTAACCGTACCCTAGGGTTGCAGAGCTGTGTTTTCTCCACTTTTCCTCTATTATGTAATGATGCAGTTTGAATCACTTTTTTGAAAGTTTGTATGGTCACTCACAGTTAAGGTAAATTCCTAGATACGCACCTGCTGCCCTAAACCGACAGGAGTCAGATAGCACCGTTGTCCCCTGGTGTCTGTGGGGGTTAGTCCAGGACCTGGAGGGTACCAAAACCCACAGATCCACAAGTCCTTTATATAAAATGGCCCAGTATTGTATGTAACCTGCTCATATCCTCCCATATACTGTATTGAAATCATTTCTAGAATACTTATTAAGTCGAATCTAATGTAAATGCAGCGTAAGTATTAGTTATAAGAATCTTAAACCTCAGTCATAAAGGCCAGCAGGTGGCATGGTGGTTAAGGGTGCTGACCGAACCACATGGCTGACCGTGGTTCATGTCCTGGGGACCTGGTGGCTTGCTTTTTCACTTTCCTCTCTCTCTCTCTCTCTCTCTCACTCTGTCTTCTCTGGTCAAATTAAAAATAAATGAATAAATATAAAGGTAAATAAAATAATTCCTGAAAAAAAATAATAACTCAGTCATACAGCCCAACACTTTACCATTTTACAGATGAAGAAACTGAGGTATGGAGAAGTGAATCCTTGTCCAAGGCTGGGCAGCAGTGACACGTACTCATCTCTCCATGACAGTGTGCTAGATCCTTTATTATGGAGAACACTTCAAGTTTACGCATTCTCCTCTGAGTTTTGTAGGGTGTGCCATACTGGGTGTTACCATGTAAATAGTCTGTGAGTGGAAATTGCCACATTCTATGTAGTTGTTTTAGAATACTTCACAAACACACTCAAATTCTTTATTATTATTATTCTTTATTATGTTTGTAACTTCTTACATGACAAAATATGAATGAGAATGTGCCTTGTATAATTTTTACTTGTAGTAAGAAACACCCATACTGCACAACTCTGCTGTTGCAAAGCTTCCTTGAAGGGCCCTTGCCCGGATCAGGTGATTGTGTACGGTAGCACTAGTAAGAGTTTAGAACTTACAGTATCTTTCAGAATTTTAAAAACAAACTGTAAACTGATTTTTTTAATGGATATTAATTACAGGGACCAGCAGTTAGCATAATGGCTTTGTCGCTGGACTCCCACGTAGTCAACCGTGGTTCGCATCCTGGACCCCATGGCTTAAACTCACGCCGGGCGCGTGTGCGTGCGTGCCTAAGATCCCGAGAGGAGAATGGAGGAAAAGGGATTGCAGCGTGGCCATCCCCCCGAGGGGTGATTTCTCACTTTCTATCTCTCTGTCTGTCTGGCAAGCGCACTCGCCCTACAGCGAAAACCTCTCAAAAAAAAAAAAAAAGATATTAATTACTTGCCTTATTACAAATATTTCCCATTTTATTACTTGCTTTTTCTTTCTTTCTTTTTTTTTTCTTCCTTTGCCATAGGGCATATGCACTCACCAAAGACAGACAGAAAGAGGGGAAGCGAGAAATCACACCCTGGGGGATGGTGATGCCGCAATCCCCTCTCCTCCATTCTCCTCCTGAGATTTTGGGCATGCATGCACCCAGGTGTGCAGCATGATTTTCAAGTTGCCAGGACCAGGACTCAAACCATGGTTGACCACATGGGAATCCAGCACCTTAACCACCATGCCACTTTGCTGGCCCCCTAGCTTTTTTGTTTAAAAAACTTTTTTCCCTTTTTTTTTTTTCACTTTATATCATTGATGCATAAGTCTCTTCTCTTTTAATCGTTTCTTTTACTATTATGATATAAAAGGCCTTCCCCACTTACAAGCTCAGGAAAACCCTGACTGTTTTTCTACTAAATTATCTTGAATTATTTTCATGTTTTACATTCATTCTCCAACCCGGCTGGGATTTCCCTTGCTGCAGACAAGGTCTTTAGCCTCAGTCTCTTTTCTCTTAAAGATCCTGGAAGCTTTAACTTCGCGCCCCGCCTGTTCATCCTCAGCAGCTCCTCGGGAGACTTCTCAGCCACGGAGTTCATGTACCCCGCCCGAGCCCCCTCGGTGGTCAGCTCCATGCCCTTCCTGCAGGAGGACCTGTACAGCGCGCCCCAGCCAGGTGAGGCCCACGGCCGGGCAGCGCTGTTGAGCAGAGGACGCACCCTCCGGGCCCTTGTTTCACGTTAGCATTCACCAAGCAGTGTCTAGCCGCTGAGCACATCGCCAGGGTTCTCGCTTGTACTGTCTCACTGAACCCTCACACCTCCCCTGAAAGGAAGACGGGTGAAATCAACCACATACTGCAGTGTACGGAGCCCGGGCTGTTACCTCTCTCCTCCAAAGACATTAAAAATGGGCAGAGCACAACAAATAATCTGCTGTTCCCCTAGCCCTGCTCTCAGGCATGCTGCTTCATGGGGTGCTTCCCCTCTTTCC